CATATTCATAACTAAAAGCGAAAATGTATAGATATATATTGATTTGGCCAATTTTCTTTAATAAAAAATAGATTTTTAGAATGAGACTATTTAGTCAAAGATAGACAAGCTTATACTGTCACTCACATCATAATTTTGCCGTCATGCCGTCTTTCTAAGAATATAGGCGTACTATTGAGATGGAGAGGAATAAAGACATTATTGAAAAAAACCCTTACACTACTTTCGGTTAATCATATTTTAAAGAGAATTATGACATGTTATCAAGATCTGGCCACTATAAGATTGTGTGATCCTATAATCGACCTTATGCTGGTGAGACATGTCGGCCCACTCGCCAAAGATGAATACGAAAATGTTTGTAAAGGCAGCTGAATCCAACGGCCAGAATTAGCCAAAAACATGGCAGATACTGAGCATGGTCTCAAACACGTAAATTCGCTGATTATGATAAGTTTGCTGCTGAAAGGAAGTTAAAAGAAACTGTTGAAATTAATAGATTATGTAATACGCTGAATGTTAAGAACGATGGGTGAAATTTATGTAAGAACTACTTATTTTCGTATATAAGTAGATTTTCGAGGCTACAAGTAAATCTGATATATGAGAAGTATTCACCCTATTTCGTTTAAGGTGATGAAGGACTGGTAGTCGAATTTTCCCACTATGATATGAGTGGAGCTGACGTTTCGATTAAATTTTACAGAGCCTTGTTTCCCAAAAGTTGTTCTCATCCAGAATAGACTGCAGTTTCGACCTCGCATAGGTCTTATCAACACCCTTAGAGGGAGTGGAACTGTGACAATTCAACATGTGATCTTGACACCTTAGCCACTTGGCCACACTAAAACAAGTGCCCTTGGGTCACAGGGCAGATGCGAATTTTAAGGAAGGCCAGGTGTTTTCCCATATCACATTCTTTGGTGGGATTGTCCATGAAGCAAACGTATTTTTCTATAACAATCGACTACATTGCTTAATTTCCGTATATAATTAGTTTCGATACGACCAGTATATCAGTTATATGAGATATGGGATACATATCATAGGAACTACTTATGCCTGATTGAAAGATTAAAGAAAGGGTCTTGAGCCGCCATCCAAAAGAAGACGACTCAACGCGTCAGCCTAGTGATGGCTCTAACTTTATTCCGACTCGTCCAAAATATTAGATGAAGCTTATCAACCAAACCAGAGATACAAGATTATGAAATCATATTCATGTCTTTCCGTGGGTCGTAAAACCCTAATGACCCTAGACTGGTAAATTATGACAGATGTTCTCGTAACCTGGCTTAGACACTTACAAGCTTACATCTCATTATCTAAACAAGGCTTACGCTGTCTCGGTCAGGTTTTTTTAAAACTATTAGGCCTTAGTGACGCTGACCCTAATTTAGAACTAGTATTCAGTATAGATTTTAGCATACACACATGTAAACACATATACAAGTAAAAATATCATGACCAATATGAAATCGAATTAGCCAAATCATTCTATATTTATCTATACCTTTACATTTTCGCATATAGTTAAGAGTATATATAAGAGCGTATGATAGAGCCGGGCGGTCTTCATGATCAATTTTTTGCATTAGACTTTTACAGGAAGAAGTTCCAGCTATGATGATGTCTGTCATAAGATTGACTAAGCTCGGCTTGTTTCCATCAGTAACGAGGGGAGATGTCTTGTGGATTGCGTTAACCTGAACATCGAACTAAAGCCAAACAGCCGCAATATAGCGGAAATCCGCCGCCGTTTCCTGATGAGATTGACCAAATCTCTTTACCATTCATCTTTATACGAAATAAAAACCTCCCCAGTATACCAAATATAGATAAAAAGCCTGCTCATGAATCTAAGCGGTAAAGTGACTATAGTCAAGAGTTTAACATTACAATTGATAGTAAGAGGGGAAATAAGGGAAAATAAGAAAGATATATTAGCAAAAAGATCATTTTTTATATCAAATTATGATAATATAGTGTAATATCCTTGGTCGGATGTGCCGTGGGTGCCTAGCAAATAAGATAACACAAAATCCTAAGCAAAAAACATGAAGCATAAAGGATCTAGGATATTTAAGGTCAAGAAAATACGCTCCCTTCTTGACACCCAGTAGTCGTAAAATATAAACGAAGATAAACTAGGCTTCGATGAATCTCCTGAGATAACATTGTTAGGGGACTGTTATTTCGTATGAAAGTGCATGAAGAGATTTGTTGGTCGATCTCACAAGAGGTTCTTGGCCTAGTGTTAACATTTGACTTTTACAAGAATGACACCCAGCTCTGGTGATGTCCATCATATGATGGACGAGTTTTATCAGTCCTCATCCGGTGAGATCGACCAACGAATCTCTTCTTCATGCATTTTCATACGAAATGAAGGTCCCCCTAACAAAGTAGTAAAATAGTAAGAACATCAAACATGATTAGCCTTTAGAGTAAGCACATCTACCTTATATAAGAAATCGTATCATTCTATTTATAGGAAATATAAGATTAGATGAATAATGAAAAATAATCGGTTTTTAATTATAATAAAACATGACATTATTCATATATTCAAAATAATTTTATTTGTCAAACAAGCAAATATTATACAAGTGACACAATGGATAAAGAAAAAAAAACTTTATTAATGAGGCGGTATTTGGAATTTGAAGAGGTTTTCAAATTCAGTAACAGGAAAGGATAAATATAGTGTCTTACGAAGAGAAACTGGGTTTCGATGAATCTCCTGAGATAAGATTGTTGAGGGGACTTTCATTTCGTATGAAAGTGCATGAAGAAGAGATTCGTAGGTCGATCTCACCAGAAGAGGACGGATGAATCCCGTTTGACTGCAGCCGTTTGGCTTTTATACGACGTTCAGATAGACGCAGTCCACGAGACTTCCTTCCTCGTTTCGGGTGAAAGCGGGCTGAACTTTCGTCCATCACACGATAGACATAATCGGAGGAGAAACTCATTCTTGTAAAAGTCTCACGTTAACACTAGGTCAAGAAGACTATCCGGCTCTAGCTTACCTCTTAAATATACTCAATTAGGCCAAAAGAAAATTGAAAACCTATATAGATATAGAGTGGTTTGGTTAAATATCTTTCATATAGGTCCTGCTACTTTTGCTCGAGTGTGTGCGTGTGTGTATGCTTTGGTGTTAACGTATATACGCAATACCGGTCCTAAATCAGAACTATCAAAAGAATAATGTCAGGTTCCGATCATGAAGCCCTACTGACCAGAAAGAAAGCCCTGACCGAGACTGCGTAAGTCAGTAAGCAAGAATGATTTAGATAATGAGATGAGCTCGAAAGCATGTAAATCAAGTTATGAAAACACTTGTCCTAACCTATAAGTCTATGGTCATTAATGTTTAATCCCCTAAGGAAAGGCATGACTGGGGCTGCATAATCTGGTACGTCTGGTTTGTTGATGAGTTTAATCTAACATGTTGGACGAGTGTGAGTGAAGTTATAGCCATCACCGAACAGAAAAATTGAGTCGCCTTCTTTTGGACGGCGTCTGAACACCATCTCTCTCCTTCAATCTTTTATGAATAATATCTTTTCATAGGGAGCATTTGATAAGACGTTGGTATAGATTATCAATTATCAGATGTGAGCATTTATTATAAAATGGTTTATTATACCGCTCATTTCAATCCATGGACACTGAACATATATCAAGGATAAACAGAATTATAAGAATAAAATTATTATATGGCACAAAGTGTGATGCTGGTCACATGTGATACGTGTCTAAACCTTATTAAATTTATATCCTTTATTAGCATAGTTATATATATATATATATATATATATATATATGTTTGATGACTTTGAAAAGCGTTCTGCTTTACTCAATGCTGCATCTTTCTTATTGTTATAATTATTTTCTTATTTGACCTTAACTGTAATTTTTTTTAATATTACAGAATTGCCGAGATCCTTCAAATACCGGATACAATTGATCCTCAGGTTGCATATTCTACTTCTTTTTATCACCAAATTAAATCGTGAAGAAGTAATAACAATAAAATATAAAAGCTAAATAATGAAATATAAAGCAAAATGAACCGAGTAATCAATAGCCACATTAGGATGTAAATTAAATAAATCCCAAAAGCACACATTAAAGTTTGGCAGTGTGACTTATTATTAGTAATATTTATTATTTTGAGTTTAATTTTTTTTAAACTACAGCTATTAACTTTAATTACAAAATAAGGCATTTTCCCAAAATTAAAATACTCGGTTTATGATCGATGTCTTATGAATTGGGTTATCATATAAAAATTACTAAGGTAAAGTTCATGTTAAATAATGATATTATAGGTTCGCAAAATCAAAATTGTGATAGCAATTTATTTTTGTTTTTTTCTTTATTATGATAGTCCAGTTGACTATTTACATTAGGGAAATGACAAAATATGATATCTACATTTAAATGTTGAAAAAAAAATGATTACTCGGAAAATTTTTGCCTTTTACTTTTAGTAGATATATAGCAAAAAAGCACATGCATATACCATAATACATATAATTCGATGATCTAAAAATAAATTTTGATATTTGCTTACTTTAATTATTTACAGAAAAATATACTCAGAATTCCAATTTTGCTAATAAAAAATATCTTTGTACTTTAACTGAGAAATAATTAGAGCAGATATGAAGTTGGTTCTTTCAATATGGATGCAAGTGGATATAGCATACAGCTAAAAGAAAGCATCAAATTAACTCAATGTGTAGTCAAGCAGCGGAAAAAGCTTACCACATCAATCTCCGTATTTGAATGGCCCATATTACAGAGCAAAATACCACTCTTCATTGCATCCATGTGCTTTCGTGTAATCACGCCCTGGTTCCCAGTACAAGTAATTACCAGATCCGCAGAAGTAACTAAATCGTTCACAGTAACCACGCGAAAGCCGTCCAAGCTGAATAAATTACAATGAAAGTAATAATAAACATAAAGTAAAAGGTGCCTCAGTGATACTGTAATATTCAATATATACATAATGATAAATAAACAAACGATTTAATTATATACAATTTATTACAGGTCAAAATTGAGGCCATTTTAATATACATTACATGTGTATTACTGATATGAATTAGGAAGCCTAGCATATTGAAAAAAAGAATTATACACAGAAAGTGCAGAAATAGTTTAATTAAGCAATTTATGGTAAAAGAGGGCTCAATCTGATCCTTATACAGAGCTGCACAACAGAGAGCTCACAAAATAAAAAATTAAAAGCAGAATTAAATCTTTAAAGAAGCGGTGTGTTTTAGTGAATGTGATCCTTTGTAAAATAGGAAATTTGGTTATCAAGGCTACGAATCAATTCGAACTAAGTCTAAGCTCCTTTGCTCTGTGTGGATAAAATATTCCTTAATGATCAACAAAATGCTCTAGTAATTGGTTATGCCACCTCAAATAAAGTCCTCTATTAGCTGATAATATGGATCTACAGTAAAGACCAATGGTATACTAGTGCCTAAATAATCTTGCAATTTAAGATAAAATCATGAAGTTAATATTTTTAGAGGTGAATTATGAAATATATTTTGTCGAATTTTCAAATCATTTACATGGTTACCTAATTAAGAAAATAACCTACCACGCCTGAAGGGCACAAATCGGTCCAGCTTCTGTGACGCTTACAAATGCACCAAGGCCTCTGAGAGACTGGCAACAACTCTTCCCCACCTCCCCGTAGCCGCAAACCAGCACGTTTTTTCCACTTAGCATGATATCAGTTGTTCGTTTCAAACTAGATCATAGTAATGAATGAAAATTTTACAGTTATATATGTATACAAGAGCATAATCTAAGTG